AATAATTGTTATATTAAAAGCAGTGGCTTTTTACTAACTTGAAACTGCAACTGATCCCACTTGCTTTCAATGATCATTAAAATTATAATGCAATAATTGTAAATAGTGAATTATTTATTTTTTAAAATTATAATTAATGCTATTGAGGACTAAGCTCTGATTTTTTTAATCTTACCCAAATTTCTACCTAAGGGGTCTAGGGAGTCATGCCCTACAAACCATAAATTCCCATCAGATGGGTTTTATTTGACCCTATATATCATGACTTACTTTTCAGTCTGACTGTGGCATAACATTATGAGACCAGGAAAAAATATTTAATGCCAAAATATACTTCATTGCCATACCTTGAAATTGCCCTGCAAAATCTCTTGTGGGAAAAAAATCCACATCTTATAGAGAATCCCCTTTACCCTTTGTTTTCATTCCTTTCTTTCCAGATCCAGGAGATAATCAGCTAAGAGACAGGCACCCTTTTAAGTCCTATAAGAAACATTGTACAACCTGCTTTCTCTCTGAAGCCTGCTGTCTGAGAGATTCCTCTGCACAATAAAACTTGGTCTGACAATTTTTTATCTTAAGCTGAACATTCCTTTCCATTGATCCCAGGTCTTCAGATAAACTCAATCAATTGTCAACCAGAAAATATTAAATTTACCTATAGACTGAAAGCTCCCTGCTTTGAGTTGTCCTGTCTTTCTAAACCAAACCAATGTATTTCTTAAATGTATTTGATTGATACCTCATATCTCCCTAAAATATATAAAACCAAGCTGTGCCCCAACCACCTTGGGCACATGTTCTCAGTACCTCCTGAGGGCTGTGTCATGGATCATGGTCTCTCATATTTGGCTCAGAATAAATCTAATGTTTTAGAGTTTGACTCTTTTCATCGACACTATCACTGTTACCTTATACATCATTTTAGAGACTTAGGAGAAACATCTCCTGCTTTATGAATTTATTATAAATTAATAAAACAGTCTAAAAGATCATAAAATAGCAAATTATTTTAAGGAAGGGGAAACTGTCAGAAGAAATCTAATTTACTTCTAGTTTTCATCTGCTTCTTCCTATTCTATTCCACTATATTTCCCAGTGGGAAACCAGCCCCTCACTAATCTAAATCTTGTCTAAAACTAGTTAAATGGCTTAGTTTAAAACAAATTTATCATCTTAATTCTGAGGAGAAAATGAATGAGCAAGAAACAGTTTTGATAACAGTTTTTCTTGATGTCAGATTAGTATTGCTTTGAGGATTGTGTTTTTAATGCTGACAAACACACACAAATCTTCACATTTATCCCAAGGATCATAATATTTTTTATAGCTCTACAAATTCTCCAGGCCAGCCTATTTCAATTATACCTTTCACTTTTTGAGCCATTTATTCTGCCTGTGTGGATAGGTGATTCTACAGAAGCCAAGACATTTCTTATTATTCAACAACACTTTACTTTCCTACTTAGATTACAAATAATAAGCGAGGTTTCATGAATGTGTAACACAGTATGTAATACCAGAGAAAATTGCAGGGAGCCTTATACAGCTATTCATAAACCTCATGATTCAAGGAATCGCTCTCAAAAGGGAAAAGACATTTTTGTGGAATGTTGAGTGTGTTTGCTCCCAGGATGGCTATAATGCTTTATTTCCTACAATAGAATTAGGATGTGGTTTTAGAATGTGCTTATAAAATATGTAAGAAATAAGATTAAGTTTGGTTAATTAATGTCATGTATTATTTATATAACTAAATCTATACCCAACATATCTTTCCCTCTCCCTACTGATCAGAATGCAGCTATAAAAAGCAGATATTTCTGTACAATTGTTTATAGACCTAGAATATTTTGAAGAAACAGGTTATGGTTAATTATGGTAGAGTATGTTTTTTGTTATCCTTTTTATACTGTGATTTATGAAACTAAATAGATGTCCATTTTTTGTTTATTGACTATCAGAAACCTCAGATGTAAATCTCTGTTCCTCTTTTGATGAGTATGCTGGAGTCAAATAATCATTAAAAATTACTTTTAAATTGAGACATTACATCCATACAGTTAACCACACAACTCTTAAGTGTACAGATTGATGAATTTTTGTTATACTATGTGATTTTTAAGTTCATGAATTTACTACCTAAATCAAAATAGAGAATATTCCCAGCACCCTAGAAAGCTGCTTCCATGTCCTTTTCCTGTCAGAATCCCACAAAAGGTAACCACTATTCGGACCACTATATAATTTGAAATGTTATGACACTTCAGACTACATTAATTATTCTTATTTTTATTTTGACTTATTTTTCATTACCTACTTCTAAATTACATTTTTTGATTTGTCTTAAAATATAAGACATCTTGAATTCTTAACTCGGGACAAGATAAGTCATAGAATATTCTTACACCAAGCATGGTGGCTCACTCCTGTAATTCCAGCACTTTGGGAGGATGAGGTGGGTGGATCACCTAAGGTCAGGAGTTCGAGATCAGCCTGGCCAACATGGTGAAGCCCCATCTCTACTAAATATACAAAAAAAAAAAAAAAAAAAATTGGCCAGGTCTGGTGGTGTGTGGCTGTAATCCTAGCTACTCAGGAGGCCGAAGCAGGATAATCGCTTGAACCTGGGAAATGGAGGCTTCAGTGAGCCAAGATCGTTACCGCTGCACTCCAGCCTGGGTGACAGAGTTAGACGCTGTCTAAATAAAATAAAATAAAGTGAAAAATATTCTTAGGAGTTAATTCACAAAACTGGTAATTGTGTAAATTTGGAATGGGAATGTAGGCACTGTGGAGAACAATTACCATACAATTCTGAGACATCAAAATGCTTAAGCAGATAAAAAGGGGTCCCTGGAGAATCTCCAACCCACCTGACAATTGTTTACATAAAATGCTTTTGGGCAGCTGGGGGAACCTGTCCAGGGTTTGTCTGGGCATGCTCACAGCAGATTGGAGCGTGACATACGCACTGGAGAAGTGGGTAGAGCCATGGGGAATTTGCGCCTTATGCAGGTGCGGAGCCTGTTCTCTTCAGCTTGTGTGATGACCTGGGAATCAATCTGTGAGGTGATGGCCTGTTAGCAGGACTCCATCTCACTTTGCTGGGTTTTTTTTCTTTTTGCTCTTTTCCCAATAAAGTCCTGCTCTACACATCCTTTCAATGTGTCTGTGTGCCTACCTTTTTCTGGTCGTGTGACAAAAACCTGGGTTTTAGCTGAACTAAAGAGCAAATTTCTGCAACATTTTTGGTGCCCAATGTGGGGGTTGAGGGAGGTTGAGAAGGATAGATAGAACCACATTTTTTTTTTTCTTTTGATTTTAAACCTTTTTGTCTTTGGACTTCTGAGGGTAGAGGAAATTATGCCTCCCTCCCCATTCCCACATTGCTCCCCAGGGTCGGGAATGTCAGCCTTTTCCTCCTTTTTTGGGGGTGTACAGGTAAACTGGTGGCTCCCCCAAGCCCAACTTAAGTTTCTCTCCCAGTTGGAGAAACACATTTGCATAAGAATAAGAGATTCTTTCCCCAGGCATCTTTCCAACCCTGCACATTAAACTTTTTGCCCTTTTCTCTGCCCTGTTAGTAGTTACCTTTTAAGTGGAGATTTTTTTTTTTCCTTTTAGATATTTTTCTAGGCCAGGAAGGATAAGGATCACTGTTTATATTCCCTGTAAAGTTTTAATTATGAAAAAGGATTTGTGACTTTGGTCTTAAGTTGTAGCCAATCTGGTATGATCAGTAGCAAACTTTGCTGCAGGCTTCCATTCTGTTTTGTGTCCTTGGGAGCATAACCTGTAACCACATGGCAATGTTTTGTTTAGCCTCTGCAATTTTACAGTGGTGGCCAGGTTCAGTCTTGGCTTTGAGAATGAGTCCTTTCTGGTTTGATACCTGTGTGACCTTTGCTACTTGTTGATTCTCTTCTGCTCCACGAACTGCCTTGGATTTTTCTTTCTCTAAGCTTTTACTAAAGTTTGAAAGCCAGAAATACTGGCTGCTTGGTGTGGCTTAAGTCGGGGAATGGGGGAGTCCAAGGATTTTCTTAACAAGTACACAGCTTAATTAAAAGTGGATATTCACGTTTTAGGTATATTTAGAAGGCCTTTATGCTTTTCTTTATTTGAATTTTGTTTTGCTGGAAAAAGGTTTTTTTCTGTCAACTGGATTATTTTTCTCCATTTTGTCTTGCCATTCAATGCTCACATGAGAGGCTCTAAGATAACTCCTGCAGGCATGGGACTCCTTGGGAAAAACAGAGAAGGTGTCACTGACCCTGTTTTGGGAAGAAATCTGTTTTTGAAAGAGAACCCCAGGAATTAAAAATGGATAGATTCCTCTAAAAATCTGTTTATTTCCCCACCTATGGTATGTTTTCCTAGCCCTGTCTCTTAAAGGGCTCCACTCAGAGACCAATAATCCAATTAGGAAATTGGTGAATGAAAAATCTTAGGGCTGCTGGGTTTTCTTCTGCCTGTCCATGTAGTTATGTATGTGTTGTGTGTGTGATGTCTATAAAAAAAGAGAGCACTAATTAATTGACTTAAAGAAGAATAAGTTCTTGGAACAAATATTTTTCTAAAGGGAAAAAAAAAAGCTGTGGTATCTTTTAGTTTGCATGACTTTCATGTTTGAGAAATAAAAACAGCCTAAAAGATTTTGGTAAAATGCAGATGTCATCAAAAAGTACATTTTTGCCTAAGGTTAAAGTATTGTTTTGAATTAGATAAGATAAAGCTAAAAGTTCAAAAAGTTGTGGAAGTATTGTAAAAATTCATCTTGCAAATGAAATTTTGTGTGTGAACATATTAACTAAATTCAAAAGGATATTTTATGGTTTTTCTGTTAATTGAGCATTGAAATGAAAGCACAAGTTACTCTTAAGGCACTAAACTGCTCTTTAGCAAAATTTGTAACGCGTTGAAAAAGGTTTTTGCTTTTTAAAAAAAATTCTGAGTCATCATTTTGACAAAATAAATAACTTGTGGTCATCTGGAATTCTATTTCAAAACATCAAATGTTTTAAATCTCTACTATTTAATAGGCTTATCAAAATCAAACTTCAGTTTCAAAATTATGTTTCCTGATGCCTGGCTTTTCGAAGCTACAGAGGACCCCTGAAGCATCCACAAGAGAGGTCAACAGATTAGTTAACATGTTTAGGTACATGGGTTTGCCAAAATGATGTTTAATTTTCAGGTTATATTTTAGGGAGTAATATTAACATAGGTTCCAAAATTATGCGGGATTTCTAAAATTCTAATGTCTGAGTATATGCTATCAATCACAATTAAGGTTGTTATGTTAAGTTTTGTAAACCTTGGAGATAACCACATTTCTTTGTCAATCTTGTTTCTGACTGTAACCACCCTGTACATTTTGTTATTCACAAACAATGTTTGTCTTGTTTTGATCCTTTTCGAAAGACGGCTTATAATAAACTATGGGACCCTGACAAGTGCTCTCAAATACAGGTTTCTGATAACTTCGGCGACTATAACATTGGAATAAAGGAAAACTATACAGGACTCATGAAGATTCTGAAATGTTCACGAATCTCAAGCAAAACAAGAGCTAACTAAATGGACTAATAGAAAACTGAAGTAATCTTTTTGACTTTTGCTTGAAATATTGCTAATCTTTGTTTCATTTTTCAGAGTCAAGGAAACGTATTTTGAGCTATTTACAGACTTTAATAATTGAGAAAGGTGTGAAAAAAATTTGGATTATGTTTGTTTCTCTCTGACTGGGGAGAGATTGGGCATACATAGTAAGATTGGATAGGGGAGATAGGGCATACATGGATAAGAATGGATACTCCTCCTTTGGGAGGCCGAGGCGGGTGGATCTCAAGGTCAAGAGATCTAGACCATCCTGATCAATATGGTGAAACCTCGTCTCTACTAAAAATACAAAAAATGAGCTGGGCATGGTGGCATGTGCCTGTAATCCCAGCTACTCAGGAGGCTGAGGCAGGAGAATTGCCTGAACCCAGGAGGCGGAGGTTGCAGTGAGCCGAGATCGTGCCATTGCACTCCAGCCTGGGCAACAAGAGCGAAACTCCATCTCAAAAAAAAAAAAATGGATGCTCCTACTCCCTAAGCCCCTCTGTTAACACGAGTGAAAGCCGCTTTGACATCATGGGTAGCACCCCGTGGTGGTCACCAAGACTTATGGATACAAGAACGGAGGAAAGAAAGAAGAATGCCTCACTTTCCCTCCCTCATATACCTCTAGAATTTGGAAACTGAGTATTCTTAACTTATGTCAATATAGTTATTTGCATCAGAGCAATAAGAATCCTTTTGCAACAGGATACAATTGGAGAAACTGGTTGTTTTACCAGGGCTTGGACTGGAAGGGTATGCTTCCTTTTAAGGAATCAAGCTCATCTTGCAGAGCTAATAAAAGCCCTTTGGGAAAACTGGGCTCATATTCTGGGCTACACAGTCCCTGTACAGGGTTCCAAACCTGTCGAGAGTAAAGAATGTAACTTTCCAACAACAACCACATAGTCTTGGGACCTCAAGAAAAGAGGAGTTTACCCAACTAATAGGTATTTGAGGATACAAAACCATGTCTGGGCTCACCTTGAAAAGGTCTTATCTGGGATTCCTTGTGGAACAGAGTCCCATCAAAGCCAATCTAAAAGGTGTATGTAAAGCCAGGTGTGGTGCCTCACACCTGTAATCCAAGCACTTTGGAAGACCGAGGTAGGCGGATCACTTTAGGTCCGGAGTTTGAGACCAGCCTGGCCAACATAGTGAAAACCCATCTCTATTAAAAATACAAACAATAGCTGGGTATGGTGGCACATATCTGTAAGCCCAGCTACTTGGGAGACTGAGGCAGGAGAATCACTTGAACCCAGGAGGCAGAGGTTGCGAACATGCCACTGCACTCCAGCCTAGGCAACAGAGTGAGACTGTCTCAAAATAAATAAATAAATAAAAATATAAAGGCATATGTAGAAATAAGTATTCTTGCCGCACTTTATGCAAAGAAGCAGATCGAGTACAAGACTAAAGTCTACTTTGCAAACAACACAGTCTTATGATTTGTTTTTAACAGAAATAGGATTAGAGAGAAATTATGTTTCAAAATTTATCATACATTTGCCGCTAAATTTTTGACTCATTTGTTTTTTAGTTTTTGCCTACATTTTAAACTAACACTGCTTATTCCTGTAAACCAACCAGTGATCACCAGCTACAGCTCAAAAGGAACAGGAGGAAGGGGTATTGTAAAAATCTCGATCAATGTACTAGTTCTGAGCAATTGTCTTGCAAATCCTGCCAGGTGATGGAAATGGGTGCCCATCACTCGGAAGTCTCCTTTTTGGGAAAGTAAGACCAATGGATTTAACCAAAGCCAAAACCCATGCACTCAAATCTTAGCAAGCATATCTGGGAGTTATCTGGGAGTAATCTTAGACAGTTATCTGGGAGTGTCACAAGACATCCTTTTTCTCTCCCTTGCTGGAGAAGGACTCAATTGCACAGCTTCACCATAGCATTTGGCTTATGATAAGGAGTTCATGCAACACCCCTCCCCACTGAGACACATTTTTGGTCCGAAGCTCAATTCTAAGTTTTGGGTGAAAGCCCCAAGAAGAAAACTGGATCTGGGCTGGGCATGGTGGCTTATACCTGTAATTCCAGCACTTTGGGAGGCTGCGGGTGGATCACAACGTCAGGAGTTCGAGACCAGCCTGGCCAATATGCTGAAACTCCATCATCCTAAAAATATAAAAATTAGCTGGGTGTGGTGGCACGTGCCTGTAGTCCCACTTACTGGGAAGGATGAGGCAGAAGAATCACTAGAACCTGGGAGGTGGAGGCTGCAGTGAGCCAAGATTGTATCACTGCACTCCATCCTGGGCAAGAGAGTGAGACTCCATCAAAGAAAGAAAGAAAGAAAGAGAGAAAGAGAAAGAGAAAGACAGAGAAAGAAAGAAAGAAAGAGAGAAAGAGAAAGAAATAAAGAGAGAAAGAGAAAGAAAGAAATAAAGAGAGAAAGAAAGAAAGAGAGAGAGAAAGAAAGGAAAGAGAAAGAAAGAAGAAAGAGAAAAAAAAGAAAGGAAGGAAGGAAGGAAGGAAGGAAGGAAAGAAACCGGATCTGAGGGACCCAGAGGAAGATGACAACAAAAGTTAAAAGGCACAGCACAGGTGGGCATTACTAATTCCTGCCAGTTGAGCCAAGCTTCCCGTTTCATGGATAAAGGTCATACTAGTATTCATGGCATAAATGACTAAGGGATTCTAAGGCTACTGACAGCAGGGGAGATAGGGCATACGCAGTTAAGAGCAGATACTCCCACTCCCTAGGCACCCCCTGTTACATGATTGAAAGCTGCTTTGACAGCCATGGGTGACACCCTATCATAGTCACTGGAACTCAGGGATATAAGGACAGAGGAAAGAAGAACACCTCACTTTTCCTCCCTCATGTATCCTGGGTATTTGCTAAGAAGAGAAAGAAATCAGAGATGCCTGCTCCCCTTTCTAGATGAGAAGCCATTCATCTTCAGTCTGTACCCCTTTCAAATGCAAACTGAACCTCTGGGACTCCTCTGAAAAAGCAGCTTTTTTCCTTTTTCCTCCTCTGACTTTTCTTCACAGCTAGGTAATTTTGTTTTTATACATTCCCCTCAGGTGCGTCCTCCAAACTGGGAAGAGTTAATTCCCAAACCTTAGACTGGTTGGGCTCAGGGGAAGGGAACCCAGAAGTCTGACATGCTGGCGAAAGGGTAAAAGGTTGTTTTTTGTTTTTTTTTTTTTTTTTGAGACGGAGTTTCGCTCTTGTTACCCAGGCTGGAGTGCAACGGCGCGATCTCGGCTCACCGCAACCTCCGCCTCCTGGGTTCAGGCAATTCTCCTGTCTCAGCCTCCTGAGTAGCTGGGATTACAGGCACGTGCCACCATGCCCAGCTAATTTTTTTTTTGTATTTTTAGTAGAGATGGGGTTTCACCATGTTGACCAGGATGGTCTCGATCTCTTGACCTTGTGATCCACCTGCCTCGGCCTCCCAAAGTTTTTTTTCCTTTTTATACTAGTCAGACTTTTGACCTACCTCTCCCTGTGCAAACCAGTAAAAGACCTTGGGATTTTTTGAACTGTCCTTAACCCTCCCTTGTGTGTTTTAATACATGTTTTCTAATAACTCTGTCTCTTCTCACCTTCAGGCCATCAGACTCCAAATGGTCATGCAACCGGAGCCACGGATGATGGCCCCTTTTGCTGGAGACCCTTAGATAGGCCTCTGAAGAAGATCTGACCACCATTTTCCCAAAATAGAATCGACCTTATGGCTCAAACACCTCCTACCCCCTGTCATTAGGGAGCAGTTAGGATTGGTTTTTGTTCTTATCCTTATCTTTATTCTAACAGAAGATAGATGTACATTTTTAGAGCGGGGAATGAGGCAGCCAAATGCCTAGCCAGATAATAAAGGGTCCCTGGAGAATCTCTGAGCTGCCCCACAAGTATTTGCATTAGATGTTTTCGTGCAAATGAGGGAAGCTTCTCAGGGCTTATCTGGGCATGCCCACAGTGGACTGGAGCCCAACAAGCACACTAGAGGGTGGAGCTATGGGGAATTCAAACCTTATGCAGGGGAGAAACCTGCTTTCTTCAGTTTATGTGGTGACCTGGGAATCAATCTATGAGGTAGAGGACCTATTAGCAGGTCTCCATCTCACTTTGCTGAGTTTTTTTCTTTCTTTTTTTCCTTTTCCAATAAAGTCCTGCTGTATTCACCCTTCAATGTGTCTGTGTGCCTAAATTTTTCTGGTCATGTGACAAGAACCTGGATTTTAGCTATTCTAAGGAGCAAAGTTCTACAGCATTTCTCCACTACTGGTTTTTAAATAAATAAAGCTGAAATACTAATATAATCTTGTCTTTCAAATTTCAAAAGACAATCCTTTACTCTCCCCCTGTCCTCTTTAAAAGAGGTCTGGCTGAGTCACTAGGCCGTTGCTATTTCAAGTGTGATCCTTGGACCAGCAGCACCAGGAGCACCTGGGAGTTGTTAAAATGCAGAACACTTGGCTTGCTTGAACCAGAATCTCCATTTAAATAGGATCCGCAGTTGTGCTTCATATACATATTAAAGGTCACGCTGTGTTCCAAGGCTCCGGCTTTCTCCAAGTAAAGGTACCATCTTTTGCTCCTCTTGTCTCTCCTGGCCCTGGACCCATAACGGCTTTCTGCTGTCACTAGTCCCTTGTTAGACTGTGTAACTCTGTCAACATCTCTGTAAATATATCCTTTTAAAATTTAATTTTTAGTCAAACACATTTAAGTACACAGTCTGTTTCCTGATAACTGGTACATATTATGCATCTTAATATCTCTGTATCTATGTTGATAGCTACATACATACTCTCTCCATTTTTATCTCTGTAATACTTTTAGCATCTCTACCTCTTCCTGAAATTCAAAACAGCCATTTTAATGTTTTTTTTTAAAAGTATTAGGACCTTTTCCCCAGTTACAACTAAATAATATCAAATCATATATATAATAATTGCCCCAAAATGAAAATTCAGTTTTGAAGAAAAATTAAGGACTTCTGTGAATCTGGAGAAGAAAGCGAGACAGTACTTTGTGTTTGTATAGCTGTTTGGTAGGCAGCCTCTAAATTGCCCCACGGTAATCCCTGCCTGCTGAGTTTTACTCTGTTTTGTTATCTCCCTCTCTTGAAAATGGACTGAAGTTACTGAGTTGCTTCTAACGAATAAGAATATGACAGAAGTGATGAAATGTGACTTCTGGGATTAGGTTATAAAAAGATGGTGGTTTTTGTCTTGAGCACTGTTACTCTGTCTTGCATTCCTCACATCGGAGGAAGCTGGCTGCCATGTTGTTAGGGAAGTCCTGTAAAGGGGCTTTACCTGGGGAGAAACTGAGAACTACTGACATATAGATAAATGAGCTTGAAAGTGGATCCCCACTGTCCCCACCCCCACCACTGAACACTTCAGACAAGAAGCACCAGCCCCAGACATTAACTGCAGTAATAAAATAAAAACTTAAGCCAAATTAAATTGAAAGCAGTTTAATTGAGCAATGAATGATTCTTCAATCAGGCAGCCTCCTGAGCCAGAGTAGGCTCTGAAACTCTAGTGCAGCCACGTGGAGGAAGAAGATTTACAGACAGAAAAAGGAAAGCGATGTACAGAAAACAGAAGTGAGGTACAGAAACAGCTGGATTTGTTACAGGTTGGTGTTTGCCTTATTTGAACACAGTTCAAACAGTTGGCCACATTTGATTGGCCAAGACTTGGTGATTGGCACAAGGGTAAGCTGCTGTCTGTTCACACCTCCACTGATTATAGTTCACGGTATACAGATAAACCTTTAGGCGGACTTAAAATACGTAAGGAGCCAGCTTTACCTGAAACTTGTTTAAACTTTTCCCCATTTTGGTCATCTTCTGAATTTTGAGAGGTTGATTAAAAACTTTGGTCATTGATGTCACCCTCACCATCATAAATATGGTCTTATTTGGTCTTGAAATCCACTGGGAAATAGAGCAGTAGGTTTTGCAAGGTGAGAACAAGGACTGAGTAGATGGTACCTCTTTATGCTGGAACGTCCTGTTTACAGGAGAAAAACAAAACCTGGTCTGTTCTATGATCTATGTGTTTTCTTAAAGCCTTGTTTGATTATGTCACATTTAGCATGAGTGACTCCATTTTGCTTTCATCTGGTCTGTTGAGGCCTAGTGCGTGAGCTCAGTCTAAAGCAATTGCCTCACATGATTTTGTTTAATAAAACTCCCCTCTTTTGGTTAGATTCTTACTTAGGTGAGAGTGTGACCAAGAGGTAGGGCCTAGTACCACTCACAGTTATCATCATTTGGGGATTCTGGTCTCAGCATGTCATTCATAGATCATGGTGCCCTCATGGCCTGACATTTATTTTAGCTCTTGTCATTTCAGTTGAAGACAGACCACTTGACATTCTAGAGATGGCTGTGTGCAAATGTTTAAAACCCTTGAGTGAATACAGCATGATGATAGAGAGGATAATACCAAAAGTGTGGGGTATGTTCCTTGCCCAGGGTCCCCATAAACCAAACCACCTAGAATTAAATAGATTAAAAATGAGCTATATAAAGAGTCTACTCATTTAAGTAAGCAGGCTCTTCATTAATTCCTACAACTGAATTTCTATAATTTACATATGATGTATTTTTCCGTAGACCACAAGTGCCCACAGCTGCACAGATAATTCTGTGTAGCCAGTAAGTAATCTAGAGCAATTCTATTATTTAGCATGACTTGCACAAGAGAATTAAAAGTCTCTTGGGCCACTATAGCCTTTACGGTAGAGTCTGCTGTAGAGCCTATCATGAGGGATACATTTCTAATCATTGCCTCTTTTACTCCAAACCATGAAAAATGGACCACACAAATGATGCCTTTCTAGAAGAGTGAAGGCCTCTGGGAAATTTTTTCTTTAGCCCATGATGTAGGTTAAGAGGGGTGAACCAATATTCTGTTTCTGACTGATCATGAGGCAAAGTATGTACCATTAAAATTTCTCATCTATGTGTGACCTTCATCTTCCATCTATTAAGGTATAAGGTTATCCATGTCTAAGACTGGCTGCAAAATCCTTCACAAATAAAAGTAAACCCCATGAGTGTACACAACAGATCCCCTTTTCACTTCTTTTGTCCTTAGAGGCATAAGCGAGGGAAAAATTATTAAAAGGTAAGAGTCTCATGATAGTAGAGAAGTCTTGATCCGTGATCTTGGGAAAAGCTGTTCATATCAAGACTGCCAAGTTCTTTTGGGGAGGAACTTCCCTGGTTGGCTTTACCTTAAGGGTTTCAATGGGTGTACAGTTCCAAGAGCGTGAAAAGAACCTTCTTGGTTGTGAGATTATAAACTCAAAGTTCAAGGTCCTGTACTTTTGCTGTAGTATTGATGGAAAGGGCAGTCTTTCTCTGATGTTCTCAGAAGATGCAATCTTAAGGTTCTAGATTGTAATGAAGTTGATTGTCCTCAACCATAAGATGCTTTCTTTACCTGGTGAAAATACCCTGTGGCATGACAATCTACATAGCATCAGCCCTTTTGTATGGGAAAGCTATAGTACAACCAGAAAACATGCACTGTTCATGACAATTGAATTAAATCCCTCTATAAATGTTTAAATGGCTCACCAGGTAGCCAAATGTACCTGAAGCTTTGATTGTCTTCCCAGGAATATGGGTTTGACAAAACAAACATTGGTTATAAACAATTTCAGCAATTTAGAAGTCACCACACAAATATATATTTAATTTGGATGATCTTATTTTTTTCATGATGAGTCATGGAATGCAGAACCTTTAATAATGAAAGCTTCAAGGACTCAGGAAGGACAAGGCTGCTGTCCTGGTTCTCCATGAGTCCATGCTTAACACTGGTCTTATATCCTCTTGAATGCTGGTTTTTTCTCCAATTTAGATGTATAGCACTGATAACTGATGGGTTATCATAGGTAATTTGACTTAGACCATGGAGTTCATCCAAGTTGTATATCTGAACAATTTCAGTATTGACTGATTTAGCATGAAAATCTGGCAATTTTTTTGGTATTCAATTAAATTTTGTTCTAATTGGGTTAGCAGGTTTATAAACCAGTCTTTTAATTATGGTTCCAGGAATTCTTATATACTCTGAATGTTATGATTCTAAAGTTACCAGAAACCTGTATTCAAGAGTGCTTTTCAGGGTTCTTTCCATGCTTTCATGAGCCTCCTAAAAGACACTATATTCTAGAATTCTGAGTGATTGTGAAATTTTTGGAAACTGCATCAGAATTAAGCAATTAACCATGGAAATGACTTTAAACACTCATAAAGACACAAGTGACAAAGAAATCTGATCATTTCTGTGGTCTACATAAACTTAATAACCATAATTATGATTAATAGCATATAATCAGACATATTAGAATTTTAGAAATTCCATACAATTTTGGAACATATATTAACATCATTCACTAAAATGTAACCTGAAGAAGGTTAAACATTATTTTTTATTTTGACCATGCTCCCTATGTAACTTAACATGTCAAATAATTCTGTTTACCTCTCTTTTCAATGCTTCAGGGGCTTTCTGTAGCATCCGAAAGTTAGAGGTCGGAGAAGACAATTTTGAAGCTGAAATTTGATTTTGGGAAGCCTGTCAAATATGTTGAAGGTTTAAAATACTTGACATTATAAAATAGAATTCCAGGTCACCATAACTTATTCATTTAGCCAAAATAGTGACTCAAAAAATTTAAAAAGGCAAAAACCTTTACTCATTGATAGAGGGAAGACTTAGCTTTCCAAAAAAATTGCCACTTGTCTTTTCCTTCTTTTTCCTGTAGTTTATTCAAAAGGCAAAAAAAAATTTGATAATTCTTCAATATTACATGAAAATCTTGTTCAAGAAAGCCAAATTTTATGCTTGCATTAGTGTACTATTAATGTCAATAGTGTACTATTAATGCCAATTTTTAATAAAACCTTATATATGAATCTATCCAATCTTAAACAGTTTGACCATAAGGTGAGATGCTCATAAACCTTTTATAACACTTTATGAATTTTTGTTAAAAAGTAGATCAGAGGTCTAAGAAAATTCTGTTTTGCTTTTTTTTTTTTTTTTTTTTTTTTGAGACGGAGATTCGCTCTTGTTACCCAGCCTGGAGTGCAATGGCGCGATCTCGGCTCACCGCAACCTCTGCCTCCTGGGTTCAGGCAATTCTCCTGCCTCA